GAGATGTATCTCAGTGGTAGATCACTTCTCTAGCATGTGTAAGACCCTGGGTTTGATCCCCAGCACTGATAAAAAATTCTTATGTTGGAGGTTAGCAGATCAACATGGTGGAAGAAGTTGTGTTGTCACACCAATTCTACTTCTTTTTTTTTTTTTTTTTTTTGTGGAACCAGGGATTGAGTAAATGTGAGGATAATTTTTGGAGGTTAAGAGTTCTATCACTAAGGTCGGCTGACTCTTTGTGTCTTTCCCCTGCTTTAATCATGGTTACTTTCAGCCTGCATGAAAGTTCTTTTGATCTCAAATAGCAGAATCGAACTCTGTGTATCTTAGGAAAAAAGTAAAGAATTTACCAGAAAGAAACTAAGCTATTACCTCTAACAACCTTCAGACTCAGAACAATGGGCATCTGACTCACAGCTGGCTGGGAAGAAGTATGCCCTTCCCTAGACACATTGATTAGTTCGGAAGTGGGCATGTGACCTCATAGGGCCTTCAGAAGTTTTTCTGTAAGGCTGAAACAGTCATATAGACACTCACCCTAATGCTAAAGTTACAAAGTTACTGTAACAGCATTCGTATCCATCATGCAAAAGCAATAGGAAGCTTATGTTGGAGGTTAGCAGGTCAACATGGTGGAAGAAGTTGTGTTGTCACACCAATTCTACTTCTTTTTTTTTTTTTTTGGCAGAACTGGGGATTGAACTCAGGCCTTTGCACTTGCCAGGGAAGCACTTATTCCATTGAGCCATCTCCCGGGCCCTCTACTTTAAGATAGCATACTAAGTTTCCTGATCTAGGCTCAAACTTAACAGTCTTCTTGCTTTAGGCTCCCACTGTGATAAGATTAGAGGTGTGCATCATCATGCCTGGTTTCGTTGTAGTTCGTGACCCTAAATTTCAGAATCCAAAATAAATGAGCTAGGAAACTTATCTCTTTGTGCTGGATATCATCTTCAGTTTAGCATTCCAAATGTAATTTTTACTCTTCTATACTCCTAGGACCCTCCAGCTTCCTTTTAGATTTGGCCAGTGGGATCCCTGAAAGGAAGGAAAGAAGGGAAGGGATAAAAGGAGTGAGGCTTGTGTATTTATGCTCCCTCCTTTTAAGTGCTTTGAGTTGACTGTAACTCTCCCTTGATGCTTACAGCACTTTTTTTTTATGAGCAGAATATATTTATT